CAAATATGGATTCGCCCAATCGCCTGCATACTGCAACGCATGCCTCATTAGAGACGTTAGTAGATATCAGGACGGGTGGTTGAGTCATGTATATGTACTGGAAGTTTTCCAGATGCTGGTCCTCTGACAGAACTGTAAAATAATAATGAATGAATGAATTAATGGATGGATGGATGAATGGAGGGAATGTAGAATGGATGGATGGATAGATGGAATGTGAAATGGATAGATGGATGGATGGAGGGAATGTAGAATGGATGGAATGTGAAATGGATAGATGGACGGATGGATAGATGGAATGTAGAATGAATGGATGGATGGATGGATAGATGGATGGATGGATAAATGGAATGTGAAATGGATAGATGGATGGATGGATAGATGTAATGTAGAATAGATGGATGGATGAAGGGATGGCTGGCTGGATGGATGGATGATCTACTGGATAAATAGATAAATAAATGAAAAAATGGTTAATATCCTAAATCAATCCCAGATAAAACAGTTATGTAGTTATTTACTCTGAGATTATTCAGATAGAGAATCGATTAAATTAACCGAATGATACCGAAATAATCGTCGAGACGAAATCGACTACTTACCCGAAATTTCTTCTCCGCAGTCGAATCCAGTCCATCCGGGTTTACATCCGGTTGGGCAGATCCCACTAAGCACGTTGCACTGCTCGCCGTGCTTACACACGCACAACATCGAACAATACATGCCGTAGAATCCCAACGGACAGACTGTGTATGTTTTTGTATGTTTTTTGTATGTTTTTTTGTATGTTCGTTCATATTTGTTGTATGTTGCTGTATAAAATACGTTTTCAGATACAAATTTTCAGATTTTGAGTTTTGATAATTCAGTTAGAATAAGATAAACATAAGTATATTGATAAAATTGTATATTGACAAATTGATAAGTATATTATTGATAGCGCTACTACTACTACTACTACTACTACTACTACTACTACTACTACTACTACTACTACTACTACTACTGCTGCTACTACTGCTACTACTACTACTACTATGGCTACTGCTGCTGAAATTCAAATTTCATGAATAACGAAAAATTGTCACCCGAGTATAACGCTTCGGACGTGGTTTTGTTACATGGTTGCGGGTAGGTCTGCTCCTCAGAACACGCACAATTTCCATCCTGCTAAAAAATAATTTTTACTCATAAACTTTCTTTATAAATTTAAATCTTAGAGAAAATTTCTTTAACTCAGTTTTATTTCTATTTTTCCATTGTAAAAATTTAACCAAACAAGATGGCGAGCTAGCTCAGACGTTAGAAGACGTTATTGGGCAATGACCTGGTTCAACTGCTCAAAGACTATAGCACGTCACGCTCGTACGATATAGTGTAGATGGAACGACAACAACACCACAACCACTACTACTACTGTCGCCGCTACTACTACCGCTAGTATTACTACCACTAATGTACATAATATTTTTTACTTGGTATTGGAAAAAGGTTTTCTCCATAGAATGACACAGTTCGGCGCATTTCTCCATCGTCTCAATCCCACTTTGCACGTTTTCATTTTTGTTCTTCCTGACACAGCCAACCAGTGTATGTTTTTCTGGTTTTGCAAGCAAACAATAAACGAAATACTAATACTAATCGAATAATAAAATGTACATAATAACAAAAATAATAATTTTTATTTATTTTTCGCACTTAAAATCTAGATTACAAACATTGCTTTAACTAAAATTGAAATAAAAAATAACGCGACAAAATGTATTCAGATGAAAAAAGATTAAAACAGATTAATATAGTCGCAACCAAACCCAACCAGAAATGTCACTCTCATAGACCTCCACTTCGCAGACATTCATGTACAAGGCTTCATTGGGCTGTTGCAAAACAACATAACTGTGTCGAGGCAAGTTGCCTATACATTTCACCACGTTTAGCCCTGTTTGAACGCTGTCTAGCAACTGCCCACAGACCAAATAAGTACCACGTATAGAATAAGACCTTGATTCGATACTGTTGCTTAGACCAACTATCACGTTTTCCAGTTCGCCTTCAAATTATTTTCATTAAGTTTGTATTATTACAAATAAAAATTTCTATTAGCCATGAAAATGAGTCTCTTTCAAAAGTCATTAGTTTCATAATTTGGGAATAAAATATTCATTTTTACCTTTGTATTTGGGATAAATGTGAACTGAAGAAATTTGGTAACGATCAACTAAATTGACAGCCAGCCAGAGAGGTTCC